CATTCTCTTTACTTAAGTTTAATCGCCCCTCTCCCAACATCATATGCTTATAGTGATTCTCAGTGAAACCCACTATCTAGAATCGCTGTAACAATATAGAGAATAAAGTTAATTTTGATTGAAAAGAAAATAAGATTGACAAACACCTATCATTGACAATTTATTTTCCACTTGGATCTGTTAAAAAATCTTTGTATCAATTTCCCAAGCTCTGACAAGTTGAGAAAGTGATCTCTGTTTTTGTGAATAATTTGAATAGCATTGAATACTATTATTAATTAAATCCAGAATTGGACAAACTGATAATATTTGATTAGTATTTTTTCTATATTCTCAATAAAATATTCATTTTCATTATTTGATCCAAATATAATTGATTTTGGTTCAAATACTAGTGTCTCATTACTATCTGTTTTAGTATCAATATCAATATTCTTTAAAAGAATTATATTCTCATTTTTATCTACTTTTGTCAAAGCATGTGCTTTTTCAAAATTGGTTTTATTAAAAAGAAAGGAATTTGTTTCTATATTAAAGTTCAATGCATCATTTATACTTTCTGTTATAACACTTTCAGATACAAGACTTTCAGTAGTCATGTTCATACTTTTAATATCTTTCACATCATAATCATTTGGAACATAATCAAAATTGTCAAAAAATAACACATTATTAAGACTCGTATTGCTTGTATTGATTTCTGGATCTTGTGAATTCATAACGAGTGTTTGTCAAAAACAATATGAAAGCATTTTCTATAAAAAAGATAATATGAAAGCATTTTTTGTAAAAATGACAATGTTATAATTATATTTTTAATGCTTGATGAGACTATTGATATATAATAATTTAAATATTATTATTAGATTTTCTTATTTTAATATTAAAGCAATTTGAAATATCATATTGAAGTATTATAATATTTAGATAGATATTGAATAAACATAATAATAATAATAAGAGTTTTATTAAATATAAAAAATTAATTATTATTTACTTATTGTTATCATTATCTTTATTGTTATTGTTATTGTTATTTTTATTGTTATCACTATATATATTTATAGTTTCCTTTATAAATTTGAACGTATGAATAGCTTAATTTCTTAATATTAATATACTAATACTGATACTTAATCAAAAATTAAGGTACAAAATTGATTAACTGTAAATATTATCAATTTAGAAAAAAACTTATCATAAAGTTGAGTTACTTTGGCTGAAGATTTTTTAAAAACTACAAGTACTATAATATATAAAATAAAATAATTAGTAAAAAAAGGTACTAAGTTTTATCTAGCTTAGCAAGATTCAGTAATATATCTTGTGTTATAAGGATGCTAATATAGAAGTAAAGTTAGCTTTCAGCGATAATTTTCTATAGTAAACTATATAAATTTGAATGTGTGAATAGTTATCAATCTCTTAATTAATATACTTGCTCAAAAATTAAGGAACAAAAATTGATCAATTATAAATATTACCAAGTTAGAAAGAAACTTATCATAAAATTGAGTTACTTTGACTAAAGATTCTTTAAAAACTACAAGTACTATAATATACAAAATAAAATAATTAGTAAGAGAAGGTACTAAATTTTGTCTAGCTTAACAAGATTTAGCAACATATCTTGTATTATAAGAATGCTAACATAGAAGTGAAGTTGGCTTTTAGCGATAATTTTCTATAGTAAACTATGTAAATTTGAGCATGTGAACAGTTATTAATCTCTTAATTAATATGCTTGCTCAAAAATTAAGAGACAAATTGATTGACTGATATAGTGCATAACATTTAAAGTCATCAATATTTGTATTTTATAAAATGTATAAACTTCTTTACTAAGTAAACGCAAAATTTAATCCGTAAATATGCTCAAAAAGAGCTATTTATTATATTCACGAATTAAATTTTGTATTTATTTCTTGTATTTACTTCTTGATAAAGAACTTTACACATTTTATAAAATACAAATACTTGATTATTTATTATGCACTATATAAATGTGCAAAAAACTACTTTGATCTGAATTTAGTTTATATGCTTAATACAAGACATATGTGTATAAAATTATTATTATTATTACGATTAACTGAGTTATCTTTTACAACTATTAGATAATGCATCCCTTGAACACACTAATATTCTCACAATCAAATGAATTTATTAAATTTGTTATTATCAAAATCTTGATTGTTTGAAAATATGTCTTAACAAAAAGTGGATGACAATCAAATTCATTGCTTTGTAGATTTTTCACATTGATATAAGATATACTTTTGAAAAATATATTTATCGATCAATAAGAATATTATCATTATGTGAACTATAGATAAAAGATATATGATAGATTTAACTTTAAAAATTCTAAGTTTTTACTTTCTAAATTATAATTTTTAATCAATATGAATAAAATATATAAAATTTTATTCTTTAAATTATAAGAAAAACTATACAAATATATAACTTTTAAATTTAATTTCTAAAAGTTAAACAACGAATATAAATAAATTATTAAACAAATTTTAGCTTGTAATTTTTATCTTTCTAAAATACAAATGAAACTTAAAAATTTTTTGCAATATAAAATTAAATAGCTAATATAATATACTCTATGGAAAAACTATATCAGGAATTTTACGCAATATATAAGCAAATTATCAGCAATACACACCCTACAATATACATGTACATGTATTATCAAAAATTTATATCAATCATTTAAATGAATCAACTTTAACTTGTATTTAAAAATTTATTATACTTATTAAATAAATATAAAACTTAATGAAAAAAGTATCAAATATATAGTTATATTGGTTTAAATTTGAGAACCTAAAATTAATAAGATGTATTTTTTCTCTTGGCTTTAATAATCTTGTCTACATGTTTAGATAGACTTGAAATTAACTCACATAAGATTTTGAGATCGATACTTATTCATTTTTCTTGTAGCATATTAATTAATTTTGTTTTGATATAGACAAATATTTCTTTTTAAAATTCAGCAGTTCAAAAATATCTCACAGATATTTGATCAAATTGAGATCAGAACTTTAATTAATCCAATTTAAAAGTTGAATACTATGTGTTGACATTCACCAAGTTATATATAATAATGATTATAATTAATGCAACAAAAAAAATTTTTTCATTAAATTAAAATATTTCGTGAAAATTAAAAGATATTCTTTTTGTTTTTTGATAATTTTTTTTTGTTAATAATATTATTTTTATATATTAAAATCTTGATAATTATTATTATTTTCAATTTCAAGATAATATATAATTGGTACAAAATACATATTGTATTATTTATAATTATTTTATGCAAAGATTAGGTAATTAAAGTTGTACTATATAAATATCATATAAGGATAATTTTATCAAGTATTATTTATATATCATACTATGTTATAGCTTTTTGATCAAAAAACTAAAATGCAAAGATGTTATATGACTTGATAAAAATAGGTACAAATTTTTCTTTCTCTTCAAAATAAATATACTATAAAACAAATAGCAAAATCAAAAAATATCAACTTCTTAACAATTTTCTGTATTAGTAAAAGATGATATAAACAACACTTTCTTGAAGATACAGTAAGATTTGATTAATTATCTATCATAAATGAGCCAATAAAGAAAAATTATTAATTTTATTACTTTCTAAAAATGCTTGTCTGCAGCAAAAATTCAAAAACATATACAAAAAGGAGAATATTAGTATTTTATTGTCTACTATTCATCATATATTTTAGAATAACAGTTTGATATCAGGAATAAAAAGAAAAAAATTCTACTTGAGCAAAGTATATCAAATAAAGTAATTGAAATTTGCATAAAATCACAAAAATTAAATTATTAAAGATTGATTAAAAATTATATAATCCAATGAATTCAAGTTTAAGATTTTAATTCAAATAAAAAGTAATATTACTAAAAATTAAAAATAGTTATCAAAATGATATTATCTAATTTGCTGAAATTAATTTGTCAAAATTAAATCTGAAATTATTTTGACTTATTTTGTTAGTAACCAAAATTATTTTCTGAAATTATTTGAATTCTACAAATCAAAACAAGTATTTCTAGATAATTTTTAAGTATTTATTAATATAATATTACAAGTTTGTTCACTAATCATTAAATTAGCTTACAAATAAGAATCTGAGTTCGAAGAGAGTATAAACTAATAAAGAAATTATTAAAAGAAAGAGGGATATTTAAGATATATGCCAATTTCTACAGAAATTGTGTTCATTTAAAAAGAAATAATAATATGGGAGAGTTATAGAAGAGTAAAGATCAAAGTAAAGGAATAATAAAGAAGATTTGAAGGAGAATTCTATACTAATATAAAGCTTTTTAGAACTTAAGGTAATATGATTAGTAATAACAATAACAAAGACTCTTTTACTTTATTCTTCTTATAAGTGAGAAATATTCATTAATAATTAAAAATTCAAAATAATTAAAAGTAAAAATACTTATAAATTCAATTTCAATAATTTTAATATAGTAATTTGTTCAGCACAATATAATATAAAGCTCAATAATCTAATAATAGGGATTTGTTCGACACAATACGATATAAAATTCAAAGTCAATAACAGCAATTTGCTTAGTGTAATACGATATAAAGCCATCAGCAATTTGATAGATTCAATATGATATAAGATTACTTATACACAAAATTTGAAGTATATAAAGAAAATATGAGTGGTGAAAAGTATTTGGAGGAAGGTTTTTGTTAAGAAAGATTTTTATTTCAGTTACAACATGTCGAGTTAAGACTCAGACAGCATATTCATTTATATATTTTTTGAAATTACAAAAAATGAAATAAATAATTATAAAAATATATAAAGTGAAATAATTAATTATAAAAGTGAAAAGTGAAATTTTGATGAAAAATAAAAAGTAAAATAATTAAAAAGTGAAAAATAAAAGTGAAAAATAAATAAAAAATCAGAAAAGTGAATAATATATATAAAAGTGAAAAATAAAAAGTAAAATTTCTAAAAAGTGAAAAATAAAAATTGAAAAATAAGAAGTAAAATAATAAATAATGAAATAATAAAAAGTAAAATAATACTAGATAATTTTATTCTTTTATGAATATTTTGTAATTTTCATGTTTTTCAATTATTTTTGAATTTGCAATTTTTATATTACTATTATAATATTTGTTCCTTCTTCAAAAATTTTGCTCTGCAAAATCAATTTTGAACTTGATTTTTATATTCAATAACTTTCTTTTTTACTCAATTAATATATCTGAGAAAATGTCAATTTCAAAGTAGTTTGTGATAAAAGTTCTTTGGTTCCAAATATTTTGAAGATTTTCTTTGCAATATGAAATGGTCATTCACAAAATTTATGTTTTTCAATCTTTTGATGAATAGATCTTTTTAATTGTTATAAATGTTTTCAATATTTTGGTGATCAGTTATGAAATATTTTTCCAATTTTGTAATAATATTCTAATTTTTGTTTTTCATTTTTTCTTTGATAGTATATTTTTCTTAGAGCTTTTTCTAGCTTTGTCTTTCAAATTTCATCAGTTGATTCAAATTAATGTTTTTTGAATTGTTGTTCTTCGATGATTTGTATTGTTGATATTAAATTTATGAATTCAGTTAGTTCTATTATTTTTGTTGTTCCAATAATTGGTCCAGAAGGAATTACAATTTCTTTATAGAGAGTTGATTCATCA